AATCTTATATCGTAAAGCTTTTTTCATGAGGCTTAAAAAAAGTAAAATAAAGGCGTCAGAAATACTTTAACTTTTTCCTCCCAAGGCACAAATATGTTCTGTCTGAGCAGCAGCACAATGTGGCATTCACTGTCTGAAAGCCAAATAGCCAGAGATCTGACGCCAAGCCAGCCACGCACCAGGCGGACTGGCTGCTTTGGTTTTGTCACAACATGACTAATGGGGAAAGCCAGCGCCTGCCCAGACAGAGAAGATCTTTAGAGTGGGACCCTCCTTTGGTGCACAGATGACAGGTGAGCCCCGAGGTCCTGGGACCGTGTGGGCTGCTGTGGGAGGACGGAACATGCGCCGACACAAGGAACTGGTCACAATTTGACAGCATCAGATTTGTACAGAAATTTAAAAAATATACAATTATATTATTCATATTATGATTATTATTATTATTATTATCACATGTAGATAAAACATTTGTATTGAGTTAATTGTAAGCCTCAATAATGATGTTAAAGGCTTAGCAGTAGACACACTGATGTCCTGTTCAAAATCATAAAAAAAACACAGGCTCCATCTCATCATCTGTGATAAAAAGCTGATTTTCATCTTTGTGTTTTTATTGCTGACCATATGATATTTTTGAATGCTTCATGTTTGACCAAGAGTCTGAATTTTTGGAATAGTAGCAATTAAATACAGAGCTCTGGGTCTAAGGGGCATGTAAAAGCAAAGATTTTTTAAACACTTAAACCTCAAATGCCTGGACAATACAGGAATACTCAAGCATCAGAATACAACTTTGAGTAAAATAATAATATAACTTTTTCCTAATACAAACAAACTAAACTGGCAAACTAAAGCTTATTTGTGATGTTAGCTGCTCAGATCATATTAGGAAAAGCTGTGAGCTGCTGCAAAAGTATGCCACTACCACCTCCTTGTTCTATTTAATTGTGTGTGAAACTAAAAAGACTTGAGTAGAATCTATCCACTCTAATTGAAGTTAATCACAAAGACATGGCTTAATAATGTGGTTCTGTGCTTTGTTTAACACACGTAAAAAGCAGATGTTGCAGGTTTTACTATTAACATTCTTGTTACACTCAACTTGTCAGCAACAACAGCAATAGATATAAAACAGGAAATCATCAAAAGAAGCATGACACAGTATATGTTTTATAATGATTCACTAAAAAAGAGAAGGTCCTGTAGCATATGTACTAAAATGTTTGGATGCTGAGATTTTAGCAGACAACCAAACGAGCTCTGAAGTTGGTGCCTGTCAGCCCATGAGTCAGTCTTTTGTTGCTCATTAAATGTTCATAAAAGTCTGTGACACACAGCATCGTTTTAGGGAGAGCTGCCCCGTGGAGCATGGCACTTGTAGGCGGATCACAGTTTGCAGCCAAAAATCCTCCTGACTCACCCTTCATCACCAGTGTTTACACAGAACTAAAACAATTGTGCCGTTTACAGCCAGTGTCTGTCCACAATAAAGGAGCATTTTAGTGTATCTGGTGTATCACCATCTAGTATTACTTGTGTTGGTGGGTTTACGCTTGAAGTCTTCTTGTGATTGGAAAGACACAAATTGCCAAACTTATTATGTAGCCTTGTCTTCACATCATGTTTTCTATATAATTCATGATTCTGGGTGATTTCTTTTAATTTATTACGTTAAAGGTTTTGGTTGTATAGCCTCATAACACTGACCACATCCAGTATACACAGCAGCCAGCCTCATGTTGTTGAAGAGGTGTAGGACATGAGAGCTGAGGGACAGGGACACACTGAGGAGCTGTGTGTGTATGTGTGCGTGTGTATGTATGTGTGTGTGTGTGTGTGTGTGTGCATGTGCGTTGTGTTCATAGAAGCAGAGGCTAATGTACTGTGTCTTCAGGCTAAGATCAGACTTGTACACTGTGGCCAGTGTATGCTCTTTTATGTCTATTAACACAGAGCAGAGTGGGAACAGGCCTCTCTCAGCAGCCTATAAAGACAGGGACTGTTGCATGCTGGGAAGGGTTCAGTCAAGGCAAGGAACCTAAGATCATTATGGATTTATGAAACTGTTTTTTAAAACAAAACAAAACAAACAAACAAACAAACAAAAAATTGCTTTTTAACTTACTGTATGTCCTGTTATTTTTACACCTTTGATCCTGCATTTTCTGTCTCACAATTTTTGATTGCCTAGTAACATTCTCGTCTCGTCAAAGCAGGCTGCCACAAAGCACTCACAGGAACACAACGACAAAGACATCAGGTGTGACTTCCCACTGCTTGTCCGCGGACACTAGCCGGAGCGACGGCTGCATGAGGCCACTGCTCCTTCTGCTTCGCTGAGCACAGTCTGACATTGGCCCGTCCACACTGCTGTAATTATGGAGCTGTGTGATTTCTGCTTCAGTTGTCGGTCACTGAGTACAGCTCACTGCAGAGGATTTACTCACAGCGACTTGTCAGCCACAAAGAAAGGCACACTTCTGGGTGGCTGGTCTGGTCAGCACAGGAAATGACCAACTGACACATAAGACATCTCCATAATGGACGGAGAAGAAGTGATAAGGATCTAATAGCTCTACTCATTGTGTTAGGCCTCTTAATATCCCAGTGCTCCACCTGACCCCCCTTGGCTCTGCATTTGTACGATGGGTCTGTTGATCCTGGCTTGGTGTGTGTCACTACTGGTACTTATAATGCCACTTGTTAACGGTTACCCTGTTGAACCTTCTTAAGGTTAACCTTCTTAAACATTCTCACACAGGATCAGCACTTAAAAGTCTTGTGTAAACTCTTTCTGTCATACCATAGACTCCTGCCTGTGGCTATCCAAATACCTTCAAAACACTTGAATGAACGCTTGCCTCTCAGAACTAGACAAGCTGGTTTCTACTACAGTACTCAAAGATCAAAAGTCTCTGTAATCTGATGATTTAGTGACAACCGCCCATTGTCAAACTCATATTGAATTATGAGGATTCAATCGTCAGTACTGCAGTACGTGCAGATGCGAATGGGGATCGGTCTAGTTCCAACGACAGGAACTATTCAGAAGTGATTTACTGAGTCAGCAGTAAAAGCGCCACTGAAAGAGTTCATTCAGGAAGTGAACAGGTCATGACATCATTTCCTCCACTGCCACTTTAGGAAGCAGTCAATGCTGCTTTCTAGTTTCCCTTTTTGGTGAGATCATTTGTATTTTTCCTAAAAAAGTGAAGTCTACATTCTGTTGCTGAAATATTTCTTTGCTCTTGTTTTAGTTTTGATGCCACTGAGATATTATATGGCTCAGTTATCTCTGAGGTTTTTTTTACATGGATGGGGTATTAATTACAAACACATAACATATTTAGACCACCTTTTATTGTTTTGGAAATGCTATATTACTGAAAACAATGAATAAACGTTATACTTTATATTAACATTACAAGTTTCACTTTCGTTTTTGACGCTCTAAGTCTCCTCTTCCTTTGCTCCTCACGTTAAGTCACTCCCACTTCAGAGTGCTATCACAAAACAATCAGTGAGCATCCCACGAATGAAACTACTGCACATCGCATCAAATTTGTCTAATTGCTATCCATCATGTTTTTGTATATTTATCGAGAATTGTCATCTTGGAGCATGGAAGATGTAGGCCTGAGCCTGAGCTGAGCACTATACACAGTATTAAACCTAAATGTAAGGAGTGTTCCAATAGGACCCGGGAGAGATCACTTGATTACTTAAACATTTATGGATGGGCATTAAAAACCTTGTCAGACATGTTTCTGATGAGGAAACATGATGATGAAAAAAATATTGCATAATACCCCCTCTTTAATTTAATTAATTAACACTACTATAGTTTTTTGTTATTACTGACTGATCACTTTCTAGGCACTGACTATATTAACTATAAGTGAAATTGAACAACTGTGCAAGTTTAATGTGTCTCCCCACTAGAAGACTGACAGCAGTGTGATTGGGTCAGATGTGATTTTGTAGAATCCAGTCAAACACTAGCTAAGGCTGAGAGGGGGAGGTCAGGAGAGCGCACTAGAACCACTTCGAAGGCCCCCACACATATTGATTTTCCAACTCTATACTGTACAAATTCTCTGGGTATGTTGTGTTTTTAAGCCCACTTTTTTTCTCTGCACGCAATATCTGGCCTTTCCATCCCTTCGGTCCAGACTAAAATATTCTCTCTGGTTTTGGCTTCATGAGATATACACAGTTGAAGAACTATGATAAATAAAGCAGTGAGTCAAGAGCCAGAAAGAGTACCCCAAAATAAAAGAAAATGCAGCAATCTTGACACTGGAGTCCTCATCAAGGCCAGACAAGATCCTGGCTCAAACAGTTGTTGGTGGTAGTTTGTGTCACCAAGCAGACTCTTCATTGGTCAGTAAACGTGTACGGTAACATCAGTCTACCATTCCAGTATATAGCATAACAAAAACAAACAAACAAAAAAATACTGCCCTGCTCCAAAGGCTCAAAGACACTTTATAATTTCATTCATACTTTATTTATTTCCCATGCATGATGGAAAGCTGTAGCCACAGCTGCCCTGGGCTAGACTGACAGAAACGAAGCCAAAAGTCAATCCAATCTCTACCAATGATTCACTCACATACCACATCCATACATCAAACTGATCAGTAGAGCTGGTCACATGATTGGCAGTGAGCTGTGAGTGAAATGACATGCCCAAGGACACATCATGTACAGAGTAACTAACCAAAACAAAAATAGAAACTATAATATTGTTATTTGAAAAGTATATCTTAATAATAAATAGTGTACATTAAATAAACTATTATGTTGTATAAGAATACATTTGCAAAACTCTACCTTGCAGCAGTTATACAATGTGGACACACTATGATTGGCTGTGCACATATTATAGAGACATGAGTGTGTCTTTCTGCAGTACTGAGTAGAGCAGGTTTATTGGAGAGACGCCAGTCTCATCTGGTTTGGTTAATGAACACAGACAAAAAGCATAGCAGCACTTTTCTTTTCCTGTTAGTTTATTTTTCAGTTGCTTAAAAAACAACAGACAAGAGCTCACGATGACCCACTATTGTACTATTCCAGCTTTCCGAACACAGGAGCCCCATTTCTCCAATATTCATGAGAATATGTAAATAAAGGTGCATCTCATACAATCGTAGAATGAGTGACCCAAACAGAAGGGTCTAAGGGCACGTGGGGTGGAGAGACTCTGTACCACAGATGGGGGGGCATGTTCCATCTGCCCCATCTGGTGTATGAGCCAACCACTCTTTGCATAATGCAAACTGACCAATAGGCTTCTACTATGTTAATAGCATACTTGCTAGCAATGCAGATTTTACAGATGCCACAAGAAAGAGAAAAATATAATAGATTTATATAAAAAGCATTTATAACTTAAATAGAAACCTAATAAAATATGGAAATAAAATAAGTCAAAGATGTTCTTGAACAGTTACAGATTAAGCCCTGCACATACCATACCATTCAAGAATCTTACTTCTCTACTCTAGTGTTCTGGGTTATCCCCCTATCACACAAGTTCTCAATTCTTGATGCAAGACAGAGAATATAACAAAACAATTAAAAATAACCCCAACAAGAGTCAATGGGGAACTTGGTGTGCATGTGTGAATGCATTATGACAGATGTAATGACTGCCAAACATCTATCCAAGAATCCACAATCCTGTTCCTATGTAAAACACAACCCCATAGTTTTGCAACCCTACTTCACTTAATGTTATAAATACTGAGCAATGGATTACACTTCTAGCCCATTTACAAATGGCATGACTGTTTTAAATCAATTATTACACACTTTAAGTTGGAAAACAGTCACATATGATTAATTAATGAGGTCATTAAACAAGTTTACACAGGTTAATTCAATTTTCTCAAACCCCCCCCCCCAAAAAAAACAAAAACAAAAACAAAAACAAAAAAAAAACACTCAATATTTAACACTTGCAAAATGTCCACTGCAAAATGGCTTGAGTAGGAAACAAACACTTCTCCATGACTCTCATGTGCCATGCACTTTTTGGTGCAATTGAACAGATTTTTTTTTCCACGAGTCATGAGCATGCCCTCTTCTGAGACAGGCCTGTAGGCCGAAATTAAAAAGCTACCAAGCTATCAAGGCCACTAGTTCATTAAAATAACCTAAAGAGTTGTCACAACCACTCATCTGCAAGAGTAAATCCCTAACGACAAACCTGTGCAATTAAGACTAACGGTAAAATATCTTGTACAAACAATTATGAAAAACAATGTGAAAGTAAATGAGCATTAATACAAATAATTGATTTAAACATATCAATATGATTAAAAAGCTTGGACATGCATGGCATCACAGTGGAGAGGAAACATTCCCCTGCAGGACAAAAACAAAGACTTAACAGAGCTGTGTCTGCTTTAATGCTCCCCTAATACAACCCCCGCCCCCCACAGCACTGAGCCAAAGGGAGTGTGTTCGGAGTGTGTCGTCTCACTGGGGCTCAGGCAGCCATCTGCTGCTGTACTGAAGCCAGCCCAGTCTGATACTGGCCCAGCCCGGCCCACAGGCCCAGCAGGCGCACTGCTGCAGCCCCACAAAGAAGACATCCTGCTGGGAGTATGCTTGGGGGAGGGCTGGGCAGACAAAGACAGGCAGGAGCCCTTTGACCTGGGCCATGGCCCGGTGGGGCAGACAGCCCAGACAGACAGCATCGTGTTTGCTGCGGCCCCTCCTCAATTTGATCAGCCACGCGGACCCCAGAGGCTGGACGCTCACAGTGAACACAATGAAGGACAGCGCCTGACTCACTCCACTTCATTCATCTTCGGGAAGGATTTCTCTATTCCCTATGGACAGAAACCCCCTCTCTTCTGGTCCCTCTTAACTCTGCAGCCACAACACTACCCCTCACCAGGCTGCCTATCCAAAGATTGAGAAGCACGCCTCTACTGGCGGTCTGTCATTCAAAAACCTAAAACTGCAGCATTGCTCTTTCAGTTCTCTGGCCTTTTTTGTGGAAATAATTTAAATCTGTGTTCTGTACAAAGTGAAAATAAAGTAAATAAAGAGAAGAAAGCTGTTGTAAATGTTTTTGCTTATGTAGGGTTGTCTCCTCTCCGTTGGTAGGCACCTAAGCTGTAGTGGTAAGCTTTTGAATGGTCCGGTTGTAGTACTGGGTGGTCAGAGTCTCCAGGGGGCTCCAGCGGTGCGCGTGCAGCTCAATGACTTCCATTAGGAGAGAGCGGGTGAGCGAGGACTCGGACGGACACAACATCTTGTCCCGTACGGCTGCTAAAAGCTCTGTCATCATCTCCGGGAGCTGCTCCTCCAGAAGATGCCCAGTGCTCTGGAGCTGCAACACAAGAACAGAGTTCAGACTCGACAGTTGTGTCCCTTATGACATGCAGTCAGACAGACAGTCTGACACCTTGTTACCACAAGCAACAGAGGGTGGAGGAAAGGAGGGTGCAAAGAGCTTAAAGAGAGAGCAGGAAGCAGAAGTAATAATGTTTTGAGCAGAGTTTTTTTCATCGGCCTTAATGGTGGGTAAACTGTTTTCAGCTTGTGTTAAAATAGAAATGTTTTTCTATAATAATTGGTAGCTCGGTTACTGTTGTTATAAATGTTTTGATATCACTAGTATTTCCCTAAAAGGTGAGTATTAGTATGAGTATGTCATGTGCATGCCTGTAGCCTGTACCTCCATTGAGCAGCAGAGGACTGCATCTTCCTTCACTTCTCTGGAATCCAACAACTACAAAACACAAAAACAAACTCAGGAACTATTTGTGCAACACAGCAAAATGAGCTACATATAATTAAATTCATTATCAGAATAGATTTAACTTCAAGACACCCAAACGCACAGTATGTGGGCCAAACCTAACAAGTCTGATATGTAAATAAAGCACATGCTGTATATTTGGAACAGACCACATGCAGAGATTAAACAAATGCAAGTGTTTGTGTGTCTATTTATCACTGCACACAAAAAGAGTGAAAAAGAACTAATCCAAAGTGTAAACATTTCCTGAATTAACATTTTAAATCTTGGAAGACAACAGATGAGAGTTTCAGCCTGGCAAACAAGGCAGTCATCAAACACCAGTCTGCACTGTATCTGCATACACATGCAGCCATGCCAAAAACAAACAGTGGAGCTGATAAACATGCTAGCTGGCTTTCCCCCTGGACCCTGGCCTCATGGACAGATGGGCACACAACAAGCTCTGGTACAGAAACAATGTACAAACTATCTACTGCCAGGGTGAACTCTAGCACAGAAGAGCAGGAAGCAGACATGTAATGCTCCCATGAATGTGCCTTAAATCTGACCATGACAAAAGAAAAAAAATGCATTTAGAGAAAATACAGATGTGTATAGGAGTACGGAACAGGGCAAATCTTTAGGAAGAGCAGGTGCAGATAAACCTCTGAAGAAAGCTGTTGTCCTTCAGCATATCTACATTAGCTACATCCTATTAAGTGGATGTACTCCCATGAAGAAAGAAGTGTAGTAAAACTGCTACATGGGCCCAAAATTGTATACTTTAGTAGAACACCATCCACTGACTGAACACAGACTTTCTCGAGTAGTCTTTTCCAAGTATCAGTGAGGCTACTGCGGCACTCATGTCAGCTCCTTACTCTGGCTGAACAGGGCGTGGTGACAGTGCGGCTGTTTGATGTGGGAAGTCAAGTCTTGTCGTCCTTCGTGAAGAGAGCTCTGCCACAAGCGGGATTAGCTCATAATGAGTTCTCTGGGGAAGCCACTGCCAAGTTTGGCTCAATATATTAAAACGGTCTAATCTATAGTCTTCTGTCATCACCTTTCCTGTCTGCTGCATAGCATTTCCCTTATCCTGCTTTCCTTACAAGTACTCACTTCTAAGGCTCCGGCAGGCCACACGTCTATATGCCTACTTTAAAGGGATTCCCATATGCGAGGACGATCTGCATATCTGGAGAACAATTACTTACTTAAAACACTAGTTATGTGCCAAGTTTCATCATCCAAACAGAACACTTTGCTGCATTTGTCACAAATGTAACACTAGATTCAGTTAAAATAGTAGTACATATTTCAAAGTGACACATTTATACAGCTCAAGTAGTGAAATCAACATTGTTTAACTTGTAAAATAATAGTAGCTGATCTAGACAATAGATAATAAAGCCATTTAGTCGCTTTCAAGTATCATTCACATTTCAGTACAGAATGTATTATGACTATTTATGGGTATATACCCAGTTAAAACTTAGTCAGTTAACAGAAATATAATTTGCAGCCCTATTTATTATAACTTGTAACTGTGTTTGACTCAACTGTAAGTTTGACCACAGTCTGCTTCTACTTTCCTCTTCAAGTCTCCTCATCAACTTCCTCCCTGAAAAATCTCTTTGCTGATACCACTTCCATATCGTGGTCTGTCTGCGGTGGCTACGTGCTATTGTTTCTATAGTGACAGAGGAACTGTGTAAGAGAGCATGACCAGGGTTGTGACTTTTTCTGGAAATGATGCTGCCATACAGGACGTTTGCACCACTAACCAAACCCGCGGCTATGTGTCCAGTCTAGACTCCACCCGCCACAAACAGGAACTTCATGTTAGGTGATTTCACCAGATCATATAAACACAATATAAGTACTACAAAGTGTATATTATGTACCTCTCGTAAACAGGTGAAGATGGGACACACCAGCACTCTATACGGCTGCCCAGAGCTGCTCCTCATGGCTCCAAACACCTCACATAAAAACGTAATGAACCCTAACCACTTCTCCACGTCTGTCTGCCGAAGCTGCTCACGGCTAGAGAAATCCCTCTGTGAAGAAAACGCACAAATGAATGCCATTAAAAGATGTACATGTAGGATCTTAATAACAATAAGAGGGGAAAATGGTTTAGGTAGGTAAGCAAATATGTGGTAGTACGCATTAAGACTGTAGTTGACTTTTCTAATGTAGTAAATAAAACTAAATCATTGGCATTTTATA